CTGGTTACTGTTTTACTGATTACTGTTTTACTGGTTTTACTGGTTACTGTTTTACTGATTACTGTTTTACTGGTTTTACTATGTTTTACTATGTTACACTGTATTACTCTATAATCTCGAGATTCAATGTACTAATGATGGAATATCCTAGCTATCACACTAAATGCACTAAACTGAACCCCAAGAGAGTAGCAATATAGTATAGAGCGAATGATACCGCCATAAGCGGGCTATAGTCTGTGTGCGCGGCAACTGTGTTAGCTCGAGTTTTTCCGCATGCTGCAGGCTACAGAAGAGTAGTTTTGACGTTTCACTATAAACTTACCGCTCCATCCAAGCTCACGAGCTATCTTCTCACACGCTACCCTCTTCTTATCACGATTCTTGTAATCTATTGAATCAACGCGCCACAAACATTCGTTTTTCTCAAATAACTCGATGAATGCCATGGTTTTGTCTGTGTAGTTGGGCGCCGCCATTTTGACTAGGTATCACGTGAGTTTTTAAGCCAATTAGATTTATCCAACTCGCCGATTTCACGAATCCGAGTCGAGCAAAATAGAACGCGTTCTATTTCGCCAACTCGTCGACTTGTCTCCAACTCCGACACCAACACAATCGAATTTCAGCCCATTGTGTTGGACGGTGATTGTGTTGCACTTGAAATCGGTACGATTTGCTGACAAAAATCGATAGTGTAAACCCACCTTTACAAAACTGTCATATCTATCGGTACTGAAACAGCACATTGAACAACGAAAATTTGTGCTTCCATTGTTGTTGTTATTGACTTTCACATTCCACAAATAATGTGGCACCAACCGACACCGACTTGACTACATTATAAATATAGGCCTAATTGCATCTGTGGCGGTGGCACCGGTCACCACGGTTCCCAACTAGGTAATTGTGAGGTAGCTCACTGGGAACCACAGGCAGAGTGAGGTATTATAACCCTAGCAATACCGTTTCTTGGAGCTAGCTGCTACCACTCACTTCCCATCAACCTCGCACTATTTCTCACAACAGCACGATATAATTCTCACAAAACTTCAATACATTGTGGAAATACCAATTAACTTGCACACACCTATGACAATACCTGCTGTAGTCTGTAGAAAGATCATCTTCATGCCTGGAACGGTGAAATAGGTCGACACTCGTCGATTCATGTACACATGTGTGTACAATGAAGTGTGCAGCGCAGACTACAGATTGGCATAAATATTTATTGGCCCTCCCAAAGAATGACATCACCGTGCTCACTTCTCATTCGCTAAAACAGAATGCACGTGCACTCTGCCGTTCCCGCCCTATACATTGTGCGATTATTTGGAACGCATTGTGCGTGACGCGTCGATGACGTTAATCTGACGTGAGTCACGTGACATCTATCTACGCGAAAAACTAAACAAAGCGTTTACATATCGTCCGGGCACTAGCGCTATACAAATAAACATTACGTTTAATTTCGTTTGTGCTTACAAGACCCTTACAACACACATCTTCATAAAAGGACTCACATGTGGATATATATTCACGTTATATCGTATAACGATATAACAGGAATAAAGTAAGGTTGTAGGGGTAATTTAATGCACTAAATACGGGGTACAAAACACAAATAATATGCAATTACTTAATAAATGACGCAATAAACTGTACACATACACAAAAGACACTTATTTTCATATATATGCAAGTTTATTGCATTCAACAACAATATCCACTTTCGGACTAGCATATTATTCCATGTAATGTCTCTATTACCTGAAATTCAGGTAATGTCTATTACCTGAAATTAATTGTTTTAGAACATACATAAACAGTGTGTTTATATAGTAAACACATCACCAATATGTTATAAACATAACGTTTAGGGCGTATAAACGGATATGCATACGGAATGTTTAGAAACTAAACATCTAAACATATGAAACGTTTCGATCTAAACGCCTGGATTTACAGTGTACCATTTGGGGAGCTCGCCATTCCCGCACCGCTTGTATCTTTCCCGCATCGCAGCTGACTCCTTCCGCGGAGACGACATGTCCGAGATACGAGGCACTCCTCCGGAAGAGGGAGCACTTCGAAGGCTTGAGCTTCAAACCAGCCCCCGCCAAGCGATCAAAGACGTGATGGAGACGTGCCAGGGCCTGGTCGAACGTTGTTCCGAAGATGATTATGTCGTCCAGGTACACAAGGCATTCCTTCCACTGTAGGCCCCTCAGGACAAGCTCCATCAACCTCTCAAAGGTAGCCGGACTATTGGACAAGCCAAATGGCATTACCTTGAATTCTAACAGCCTCTCACGGGTGCTGAACGCGGTCTTCTGGGCGTCTCTCGGGTCCATCTCCACTTGCCAATACCCGCTCGTGAGGTCGAGAGTGCTGAACCACTGGGCTCCAGCGAGGGAGTCCAGGGTGTCATCGATCCTCGGAAGTGGGTAGGCGTCCTTGACCGTCACTGCATTCAGCTGACGGTAGTCGATGCAAAAGCGTGGGCTGCCATCCTTCTTCGTCACCAAGACCACAGGAGACGCCCAAGGGCTGTTGCTTGGACGGACCATGCCATCCCTCAGCATCTTTCCCACTTTGGTTCCCATTACCTCTCTCTTTGCTAAGGCACACCGTCTCGGGGTCTGCTTCACCGGAGGGTGGTCCCCGTGTTAATGGTATGCCTCACGAGGTTGGTGTGCCCCAGCTTCTCCCCCGGAGCCGTGAACAGCCTAGCATACTTACGCAAGGTCTCTCCCACTGCGTGACGCTGTTCCTCCCCGAGCGCCGGATCCACCCCATCTAGGAGGCCCACAACGTGCTCGGGAATTCCGGTCTCCACGGAGTCTAAGGTGGTGGATTTCCTGTCCGCACTGGCTGCCGGAGAAATCCGAGTGATCGGCGCTATCCACGCTATCCTCTCACCCGGGTGTATCACTATCGTAGACGGGCCAGGGTTAGCTACCCATAGGGGAACGCTTCGGCCCCTCGTATCGACCAAGGTTCGAGCCATATAAGCCCCCCGCCTATGACAGCGTCTCTGAAATCCCTGCCTCGGTTCTGCCAGTGCTAGTTTGTCGGCCGGCCAGGGGTTGTCCACGACGTTTCCCCGGACCACACCACCCTGGGCCGGGGGAATCATCGTGCGGGAACTTGCCCGCAACACCTTTGGCACCAAACCCGGTCGCTCGTAGAGCACGTAGAGGATGCCGTCTAGGGTCAAATGCCTCTGCGCG